GGTATTTATATTAGGTATATTTGTCATTAAGCTAATGGGATCAAATTTTGGGGGAGCCAAGGTTGAAATGATGTCTGTAGCAATATTTGCAAAAAAGGCATTAAATTCATCAGGTGTTATGGCAAAAGTTTGTTGAGGTTGTTTTTTGGGATTTTTACATTTGATCAATTTCCACATTGCTTTAGAACTATTTTTGTTTATTCTAATATATTTATCATTAGCTTGTTTTTTTGCATTTTTAATAGCTATATTGTATTTACGTCTAAATTCCAGTAACAACGATTTGAGTTCTAAAGTTCCATGCAATTTATAAGCTTCGGCAAGCAATTTTAATGTTTCTCTCATCTTTTGAAGTTCTGTTGAAAACCAATTATTACTTGGAATTTTGCTTCTATTATAGCATACTATAGTTTTTACAGGAAATGCAATATAATAGTTATATAAGATGGTATTAATGAACATGTTAAACTTATTGTTAATATCAATATCAGATTTTACAAAGTTCCAATTAACTGCACTTAATAGATTGAAAAAAATTAATTTACCCTGATTCGTGAGGGGTCTTGTAAGTTTGAATTGTTTTTCTTGTGTTTTAAAAATTTAAGAAATATTAATAGCTACTCCTCTATGATCTGACAGATGGGTCTCAAAAGCACTCACCTTTATGTTTTCACTTGAGAAATTACAAAAGACATTGTCAATACAGGAACTTCCCCTTGTTGGAAAAGTCACTAAAGGTTGGAAGCCATAACTAAGTAAGAAATCACAAAACATTTGTGCCTTTACGTCGTTTACATTAAAATGAAGCTTAAAGTCACCCCCAATTAGTATACGTTTCTGTTTATAATTAATGATATTAAGGGCCGAATTCTGTAAAGTATAAAGGCACTTTGGTAAAAGGATTGTCCTTTACATAAAGATATTCCTATTCTCCAAAACGTAAAGGACCCTTATAGATCCGTTGGATAAAGGTGAAGTCCTTTATAGTTTCCCTTATGCAACGTATGGTCATAGGTGTCACTTTATGCAAATTATCTGTCAGTTTCATTAGTTTTATGTAGTGACCTTTTCTAAATAAAAAGGAATAAATGGAAAATCTATGATTATTTATCCTAGTGGAATTACAATAAAGGTATATATGAGTCAGAACAATGATGTCTTCGTCCAGTTTTATAATTTCGTGGTTTAAATTTGTTAATATTAGCAAAAAGCACTAAAAATTGTCATATTAAAGTTAATTAAGCCCAATTTGGTGGAAATACAAATACTTTTACGATGCTCCAAATAGACTGGTAACTACTAAACAACTTTGCAAAAACAACTCCTTTGGAGGAGTCTTTACTTATAAAAGACCAAAAAATCCATTAAAGGCCAGACTCCCCTGACCAGTTGCCACTCCAGTGTGTTGGTACATAAGGAGCCAGTGCTGATATCTCCAAAAATGTACATGATTTCATAAAATGTTTATTTTTTTTGAGTTTTTAATGTGTTACCATCATCACGAACCAACCTACGATCAAATAAATAATACTTTTACTATATGTCAGGCACAAAGACCACGACAAGAATTTCATACCTCATAAATTAACAAAAGTTAAGTTTAAAAATCTCCCCAGCCCGTCGCACCAACCAGACCGATATTGTGAAAATTTGAGGTTATGTACAATAGATTCCGTCTCTCTTCGTTCCTTTACATAAAGTCGAACTGACGCACAAGGATTCACTTTCACATTTCCTTTACGCTAATGCCTTTAACAAACGGATCCCTTATTAAAAGGTTAAGTTACAGAATTCGGCCCTAAGTAACTTAACTAAAGTTTCAATAAAAACATCATAATCACCACTGGGTGATCTATACAATCATATTAACAATATAACAATACATCAAATTTATGCACATATATGCCGATTAACTCAATGAATTTCTTTGGATATATTACTTAGTTGTGGTAGGTCTTCATACTGTAGGGAAGGATCTATGCATTGAACCACGCCACCATGAGTGTGAATCACTCTCGAAAAAGAATCAGCCACTCTAAAATTATCAATTGTAACGCATTCTGTTTCATCACTGGTTAACCAGTGCTCACTTATGCACAAGACACTAAAATTATGATTATGTAAAATAGCTTCTAGCAGATTAATTTTATTCCTGATGGACTGTATATTTAAAAACAAAATTCTCAAGTCAGATATTTCTTGATTTTACTGTGGTTGCTCTATATTGTTATATTTTGTTTTAGCCTGGGCGCGTTGCACTTGTTTTTTAAGTACTTCACATTTTGGGTCAAAACGTGAGTGATTAATGTCTAATTCTAATTTCAAATTCTTATTTGCTCTGATGCAATTAATACACGACATTTCTCCCTTTTCACATTCAATTTCGACGTGTTCACGACTGTCACAGTTTAGACAAATCTTTGTCCCTTCTTTACAATATTTCGCTGTATGATTGTAACCACCGCAATTGTAGCATCGAATTATACCAAAATGCTCAAAAATTCGACATTCATCCCAATGTATAAGAACTGTTTTTAATTTGATAAATTCTAAAAATGACTTTGGATCGACTTCTACTATCGCCATATATTTTTTTTTCATTTTCTTGCAGATGACAAGTTTCCATGTGTTTATAAGATCCTTCAAAGTACTCTTTTGTCTAGTTATGCATCTTTTTAGAGACTCTTCATTATATGATTCGCTTAAACCAACAATTTTTATCATGGGATTTCTTAACACAGATTTTCGAATTGTGTAATCCTCGCCGAGTTTTTGCGTACTAATGTTATGTAGTTTAGTAATATCTTCTTTCTTATTGCACCCGATAACAACACCTCCATTTCTCAGTTGTTTAACGTGGTTTACTCCTATGTCTTCAGCAACGGGGTCAATTGTTTGTTGTATTGATTCCAGAGTAACTTTGCTCGTTTGATTAGTTTTTGGTTTTATAATAACTACATCCTGTTTCTTTACTATATCGCTGAATTTTGGCTTAGCTTGCAAGTTTTCCGTTATAGAGTGGATCTCGCTAAATTTGTGCTCAATGGTTTTATTAATTTCATTCTTAAAATTGGTGAAGTGATGAAAAAGTTCATTTTTCAATTCGTCGACTAGACTTTTTGTGTCACTATCACTGGTATCAATTTTTTCAAAGCGTTCACCTTCTAATTGCTGATTAAAGGAAGATTCCACTGCTTTTTTGCTTAAAATAAAACTTTTTATTGAAAATGTTGTGCTTATTTAAGCGCTTATTCTTAATTTTTTTGTGCTTATAAATCCGCTCTCTAAATATGGCGTTTATTCCTTTGATGCATAAATAACTATTATAACACGCTTATAGTAGGAATTAGCAATTGAGTACGTAGTTTTTCTTCACTAAATGAATTAGCGGTAAGTAAAATGATAATATTTTATTTACTTAATTTTAAAATAAATACTACCTTTGTGTAAGTACTACGAAAATAAATTAAATCATTAACATATAAAAAACTATACCGATTAAAAGAGGGTCTACGAAATAAGCCCTGTCAGCACTTTTCCGAGGATCAATTATGCTAAAATTCCTCCCAAAAATTCCAAAGGTGAGTATGTGATTCTGCGGCTTGGTCAGAGTAAAAATTCTCTTTACTTTATCGTCGACGCCGTAGTCGTGAAACTCTTTAATATGTTCTTCCTTCCATTCAGTATGTTTAGCGTCAATTGGTTTCATAGAACTTAACAACGAGTTTGGGAATTGTGAGCTAACATAAATTTTGTCTTTATGAACTGCCCCAAATTTAGCACCAATCTCAATACTTTCAAACGTCGTAGGCCACGCGACGTCTATGAATGAGCCAAATCGTTTACCACAAGAGCTAATATTTCTATCCAAACATGCTATAACGGCACAGATTTCAACACCGCCCGGTTCGAAAATATTGTAGTAAGTTTTGTAACCCTTATAGGCAACGATGTGATAGACATATTTGTAGGTACCAGTTGCTGCGGCATCCTGGTTGAAGGACATCTGTAAGTTAAATTCACAACAAAAAAAATTGCCGGGGGTCTTGTCGTAACAAAGTTGGGTTTTTAGTTGAGATCGCCGCGGGTCAATAAGACGAAAAGCGAATCCTGAAAAACAGTTTTATGATTAACTTATGTGCAACTAAAAGTGGATACGTACGTTCTATATCTGGATCTACTTCGAAAAACATCTTGTCCATTTCATTGGACATCTGAGATACAGCTGTTTCACTTTCGTCTGGAGGGTTCGTTACATTTCCAGGATCTTCAATTTTAGAGAATCTGTAGATGTAAGATTGCGTACCACCGGAAGGTAAGATGTCCATCATAATCTGACCAACTGCGGCTACACTTTTTTTGGGAATGTCGTTCTACTCGTATTACTTACCGTGATATATTCCCGTTCCTCCTTGTGATTTCTTCGGATTGTTGGCACCCGAAAAAAAAATAGTTACGTTGAATTCTTGCGCCCACATTTGATAAACCTGAAGTGCTAAAAATTTGTATTTTTTAATAGTTACGTAAAGGAAACCTACATGTTAAAAAAGGTAACTGAGACACCCAGTTGCTGCAAACCAAATAGGTTCTTTGATACTCCTGATCTATAACTTTCTCATAAGAAAAACTAAATCCCGTTATAAACGATGTTACTACAAATGGAATAGATTCTCCCTGCTTATTTTTAAGCTTAAAGTGGTGTCTAACAGGAATCTCGAATGTTATCGGAGGATGGTTAAGAAAATTAACGCCAATCCTGGTTTCCCTTCTAACACTGGAAATTGCTCAGGTGTTGTTTTATCTTTTCGTTTTCTCACGATTTACCTAAGCACAATGTCACCCAACTCGTTCATCACAACATCAGAACTATAAAACTCGTCCGACTCATTTTCGATTACGTTGAAAATAATTGCAGTCTTCGCGTCCCTCGCAGCACAAGATAGTCTTCTCATAAACGCAGGATACCTGTGGCTGTGAACGAAGCACGGATTCTGGTCAGGTCCTATTTTGGTCGAATAAGATTTCTTATCTTTCATTTCCTGTATATTGTCAAGGGTTCCTTCAGGAAAAATTATTGCCATAAGTTTCTAAAATAGATCATCATTTTGTAAATATGTAAAATAACATTTTTACGTTATCTGCAGATGCTTCTTGTATTATTTCCACGTATCTGTCTGTGTTTCTTATAAGTACATCGTTAGGAGTAAGCAATTTATCATAGAACACTTGGTATTCAACTACAGCAATGGCGTTCTCTTGGCATTTTACAGTCACCTGAAAACAATTGACAGCAGTGCTTAGTTATTAGTGCATTAGATGATCATACCAACAATAACAAAAAGAAGGAAAAAACGATTTGAATCTTATTAAGCATTTCTAAGTTAAAACTGACGCGTTGTCAATATTCTGTCAGAACCAAAATTAGCCAACTTAGCAGATCTGCATTAATTGTCCAATTGGTGTAGTTTAGAGTGCCTTGACATATTGTGTTGTTTTTAAGAGTGGACACGAAATGACAGCTTCAATGTCAAAATAATTTAGGTTATATAAATGGTTGTCAGCAACACGTATATGTAATCGATGGGTTTTCCTGCTGCGATCCTACTAGTTTTGCTAAATTTACAAAATATTTAGGTATTTGTATTGAAAAAGAACTTAACTGGAATCAACATGGTAGTTATTTAGGTGACAAAATATCAAAAAACAAATCCCTTCTTCGAAATTTAACTAACGAGCTTTCCCTAAATTAACTGCGCAACGTCTGTTATACCTTACCTAATTCGCTATTTTCTCGATTATTCTGTCTAAGTCTGGGGATATACATCTTCTTTAAGAGGAGTATTTAAAATGGAACGAAGAGCAGTTAGAATCATAGACAATTTGTAGATAGTCTTTTATTTCATTGAGTATAGTCACCTTATCCTCCATATTTATACCATTCGTAATTATAGCACAAGACATCAAGATATTTCCTTTAAAAATTTACGACTAGCAAAACTTAGAGATGGCACTAATTATGTATGCATACAAATGCTTTACCAAAAAAACTACATAGAAATAAATATATTACCAAAGTTTTCTTGAAACAGCTAAAAGCACTTTTGATTGGGATGTCTTTTATTCATTAGATGAGATTAGTTTTGCGATTACTGTTTAACAATTATTAATGAAAAATTTGTATTATATTGTTACGATAAACCGGTGATTGAAATCGGCGTGGGTAAAACCCAACAATTTATTTGTTGTAATTCAAATTTACACGACTAATCACACAGTGATTATGTACACAATAAATCCGACTGGAATGGATTTGACTAGACTTTACTTCTCCCATTGTCTGGACTATTCTGACTGGTCCTGACGTTGGTTCCCATTTAAAGAACCCCACGGTATTTCTCTAGCAGTCGCCGTCACCATTTCTAGGCCTATTCTGGAGCACCCATCGCGACTTCCGCTTCCAGGCTTTTCTTCAGCGAACGTCGTCCGACCGCCGTCACCGACGATGAGTCACTCATCATTGCCTCACATACTAGAAAACCCACACCGGGGCATATTATATACGTTATATGCATAACGTATGTAATAGGAGTAGTATTTTGTTAGCAGTAATAACTTCGGTTCTAATCTTGGCACATCCATAAAAATACATTTTGCTAAGTAATACATTTTTTATTAAATTAAAAATGAACTTTGTATCCAAGTATAAATATTAAAAAACAGTACCACTAGTATGAGAGGTTGTTTCAGATAATATTTGTCACCACATGCACGAGGATCATCCAGGGTAAAATTCCTTCCAAAAATTCCAAAAGTCAGAATTTTCTTGTGTGGTTTGATTAACGCAAAAGTCCTTTCCAACATCTCCCAAGAATCGCTTCCATCAAGTTGGGTGACATTCCGTTTACTCCATTGCGTAAAATTCGGATGAATTGGCCTCATCGAAGTTAGTAAAGAATTTGGAAACTGCAAGCTATAAAAATATCTTTCCTTTCGAAAAGTACCAAATTTGGCCGTAATAACGATACTGTGAAAAGTTATAGGCCATTGAATCTCTTTAAACGTTTTGAACCGTTTACCACAAGAACCTAATTCTGAATCTAAACACGCAATTACAGCACAAATTTCAACTCCTCCGGGTTCAAAAACGTGATAATAGGTTTTGTAACCTCGGTACGCTACCAAATGATAGGTGTACCGTATTTTAGAGTCAAGTAATGAAACGTCAGAAGAGATGTTGAGTTGAAAGTGGCAGCAAAAGTAGTTGCCGGGGGTTTTGTTATAACAGACCTCGGTTTCGGTTTCCTGTTGTTGAGGATCAAGAACAACAGATTCGTATCCTGGAAAAATTAAATTACTTATAAAAAATTTATGAAAATTATTCTTTACTGAGTAAATCTGGGTCCACTTCTATGTAGAAGTTGTCCATGTCTGATGATGCTTGGTCCAGAAACGTTTCACTCGTGTAGTCAATTGGAGTCACCATTTCTCCCTGGCCAATGTCGCTAAAGTTGTACAGGTAAACTTTTGCTCCACCAAACGGCAATATTTCCATCAAAAGAGGACCCCTTTCAGCTACATTTCATCGTCACAAGTTTTTGCTCTTCAACTGACTTACCAAGATATATTCCGGTTCCTCCTTGCCCTTTTTTGGGATTATTAGCTCCCGAAAAAAACATAGTCATATTAAATTCTTGTGCCCACATCTGGTGTACTTGAAGTGCTAAAAAATTTGGTTTTACTTAAAACACGGTACATTCTAACTAACATGTCAAAAATGGTAGCTGCGACACCCAGCTGCTACAGATAAGATAGTTTGTGACCTCCTTCTGATTGAGGACCTTTTCAAAAGAGAAAAGGAATCCTACTACAATCGATGTCACGGCAAAAGACGAGATCACGGATATTGTTTGAAGATGAAATTTTACTGGGTAAAAAACGAGTTGACCAGGAACTGTTAATGGTATTGATGTTTTGCGAAGAACTTCGATACCAATTCGATTTTCTTTTCGAATACTGAAAAAATAAGTTCGCGTTTACTCTTTACCTCCTCTACAACAAACCTATATTCTATATAGCCTCGATGATTGAGGACCACGTCCGAAGTAAAATAGTCGTAATCTCTCGCTTGTATCATATTGAACACAATTGATACTTGGTACTGTCGTGCAATACAAGAAAGCATATGCAGGTATGTGGGATATTCTTTTTGTTGATCACAGGGAGTTCCGAATGCCGGTAGTTCGGCAGAATATGGTTTTAAATCTTGATGTTTTTGTACATCGTCGAGGGTACCTTCGGGAAACACGATTACGACCAAATTCTAGAATAAATTTATGCGAAGTGTGCAATTTAAAAATTTTAACATGCCGTTATTACATCATTTCCACTCGCTTCTATTAGTTGTACATATCTGTGTGTGTTCCACTCAAGAATTTCCTTTGGAGACCACTTTCGGTCGTGTAAGGCTTGATATTCGACTACACCTATTGTGTACCAGTCGCCTTTTACAAAATGCTGAAAAATGGTCGATAAAAATATAGTGTTGACTCTTTTTGTACGCCGCACTAATAAACAAATCAGTAAGAATAAAGCTGTATTGTCGTAATGAAACATTTTTGACAAATAAAAGTGACAACTGGTGAACAATAGAAACAAATGCAAGGTCCATTTGACTTGAATTTATTTTTTACTAGCTGACCCCGTGAACTTGGTTTCACCTACAATTTAATTTTGAATTTGCAAAACCGAATGCTTTGAAATCTTGCAGATGTTTTAAACATATGATAAGCACAAAAAAATTTTATTCAAAATAATATTTACTTCCTCCAAAAAATTGATGACGTCAGCCCAAAATTTTCCCAAATGAATACTTTTTAAAATGACCAAAATAGGATGAGACTATACTGGTGATTTATCATTCCATTCATATTTTTTAGTTTTGCTTATAGGGAGTGTCTCAAAAAAATTAATCACTGAGTCAATTTATTTTATTGAGTGAATCAAGAATTGCAACTGAATTTTGAAATATACATTTGCACGATATAAATTAATAAATTTTAAACATAATTAGTATCACTTATAATGTTTAAATATGATAAGCATAAATATATATGATAATTAAACCGACGTTGTCCTAAAAGCCCGAAATTATTAAAAACAAATAAATTTGTTTAAACATTGTTAAATTATCCGCGAAAATGTGCATTTTCTCGGCCAAAATATGAAAAATAATTTTTGCAATCTCTTCGTGACGTACGATGACGTCACTGTCACCTGAGCTACCTGTCCGAAGGTCACGTTTCGCGGGCCTTTGTGTTCAGTATTAATTTCTGTTTGATGGCGGCAAGATCGTCGCGTAAAAGTGGAGCGTTTTAGCGAATTTCAAGTTTATTATTAATACATATTAAGGAAAATTTGTTGTGTTAGTGCTGTGAACACGAACGAAAATTGATATTTTTCCGAAAAGAACCGAAAACAGGGTAAGTACGATTTCAGTTTTAATTTATTGATTTCGGTGATTCGTTTACTCGACAATGTTTAAATTGTGGGAAAATTTTCGAAACGATTGAAATTGGTTGATCAAAGCTATACATTTTCACTTAATAAATAAATAAATTTTAAATATAATTAATGTAATTCATAATGTTTAAATATGATAACTATTAATATATGATAATTAAACCGAAAACCATGTCCAGAACAACACGAGGTTAGCAAAAACAAATTAGTTTGTTTAAACATTGTTAAATTAACCCCGAAAAAGTACAATTTCTGAGCTAAAATATGAATAATAGTTTTTCCAATCTCATCGTGGCGTACGATGAAGTCACTGTCACGTGAGCTACCTGATAAAAGGTCACATTTTCGATCCTTTGTGTTCAGTTTTGATTCTGGTCTGGTAGCAGCAACACTGGAGCTCCGTTTTGGGTTAAAAGTAGCACGTGTTCGCGAATTTCTAATTTATTTTTAATAAATATTAGCAAAAATGCTTTGTGTTCAGTGCTGTGAATACGAAGGAAAGTGGAAATTTTTCCGAAAATGGCCGAGTTTTTCTGAAATTTGTTGTTAATAACATGCATTCAGCACTGATAAAGTGCGGCTTTCGAATATACAAAGTACTGCGTTTATAATTCATAAAATACCGTATGCATCATTTTTAAAGTACGGCGTCCAAATTTACAAAATACGGTGTCCTTCACCCATGCTATCAATCCCTAGTCCTCTCTTTTAATGCAAGACGCACTCCAGACCTCCTCGTATTGTTTGGTTCTTGCTGGGCTCCAGCAACGAGCGAGCACCGTCATCGACCTTTGGTGGCAAACGTGGAGAAATTTGTATATTGTAACTTTTGTAATTGAAGCATTTTGTACTGTATATTGTATGTGTTACTAACTTAACTTGGGTCTTGCCAATTTAGCTCCAGTGGTGCAAATGCTTTGTTTTCACGGTGCACTTGCTTGAGTATTAATTTTGCAACAGTGCATTCTTTGGTTCCGAGTCTGAATTCTCCATGTCGTCAGACGCTCTGGCCTGGGGGGTTTCTGTTGGCCCTTAGACGCTGGGTCATCATTCTAAAAGGATAAGGTTCATCATCCTAAAAGGATGAGGTCAGTCGGCCCTGTATCTATGGAGAAGAAAATGAATATCAACACTGAAACGGATTTTGGCACTATCTTGGATCTAGAAGTTGATTGTAAGAATTCTCCAAACACCAACATTCTGATTCAATCAACAGAAAACACACTAAAACAGGAGCTCATTCAAGAGAAAGAAATTAGGTTAACAGAAGAACATATCGTACCGGCAGATGTCGGGTCACTACCAGTTATTGTTCAAAAACATGGTCAACTTGAACAACAATTAATGGGTCCAGAAACAAGCGTACAGCCTGCGCGTCGATCTACTAAAATTAAGAAACCAGTTCAGAGGTTAATTTTGTAAACTAAAATATTTTACTGAGACTGCTATATATATTAATCAAGTTACAATGTTAAGAACAAAGACATTATTATTATTATGTTTAGAATAATTTTCAAATATGACATTTCAATGCGATAAAGAATAATATAAAAAATATCTAAACTGTTAAATACACAAAACCGTATTTTGAGAAAATTTTGTGTTTCTGGAATTTCGGTACAAGATGTTGACACTCATTTCTTAGGATATTATTCTTTGTTAAATAAGCTGCAATTCTGTTTTTTAGTAGATCCTCAAAATTTTTTTAAAATGCTTTTTTGTGTTTTTACCTTTTAATTTGTTCACTTTTCTCCACATTGTCTGTTGTTTATTTTCAATTGCTTTGTTTTTTTTGCTGGTTTAATTTTTAATCGGTATTCCTTTTTCATCCTTCCAGTTTTTCATTCTTTTTAAGACATAAGCATAATTATTGATACATTTCTTTCAAATAGAGTGTTTAATGTCAAAGGAGATAACACTTCTATTGACTAATTTGAGGTGAAGAGCGGTGTTCCACAAGGATCAGTCGTAGGTCCGTTATTATATATAACCTACACGGCTGACCTAAAATATGCAGTACACTCGTGTTTTTCTAAAATAGACCTGTGATTGGCTACTTCTACCTAATATTGACAAGTGTACGGTACTTTATCTATGTAAAAAAATCTAAAATTACCATATTAAGTACATAAAGAATTCGGTGTCTAATTGCTGTCGTGACTTAGGTGTTATTACATTTGATTGGTCTTGATTTCAAAATATAGCCAGCGTTACCAAGAATTAAAATTTTGACAAAAGTTCCAATTTCAATTTTAATTGATAAATTGTTTATTACGTTAAAACTAAACTTTGTATACAAGTATAAATATTAAAAAACAGTACCACCAGTATGAGCGGTTGGTTCAGATAACATTTGTCACCATATGCGCGAGGATCATACAGGGTAAAATTTCTTCCAAAAATTCCAAAAGTCAAAATTTTCTTGTGCGGTTTGATTAACGCAAAGGTCCTTTCCACCATCTCCCAAGAATCGTTTCCAACAAGTTCGGTGAGATTACGTTTGCTCCATTGCGTAAAATTCGGATGTATTGGCCTCATCGAAGTCAGCACAGAATTTGGAAACTGCGAGCTATAATAAATTTTTTCCTTTCGAAGAATACCAAAGTTGGCCTTAATAACGATACTGTTAAAAGTTATAGGCCATTGTATCTCTTTAAATGATTTGAATCGTTTACCACAAGAACCTAATTCTGAATTTAAACACGCAATTACAGCACAAACTTCAACTCCACCGGGTTGAAAAATGCTATAATAAGTTTTGTAACCTCGGTACGCTACCAGATGATAGGTGTACCGTATTTTAGAGTCAAGTAATGAAACGTCAGAAGAGATGTTGAGTTGAAACTGGCAGCAAAAGTAGTTGCCGGGGGTTTTGTTATAACAGACCTCGGTTTCGGTTTCTTGTTGTTGAGGATCAAGAACAACGGATTGGTATCCTAGAAAAATTAAACTACTTACTGATAAAAGATTTAAAAAAAAAACTTTACTGTGTAAATCTGGGTCCACTTCTATGTTGAAATTATCCATGTCTGATGACGCTTGGTCTATAAATTTTTCACTCGTGTAGTTAACTGGAGTCACCATTTCTCCAGCGGCATTACTTGTAAAGTTGTAGAGGTAAACTTCTACACCACCAAACGGTAATATTTCCATCAAAAGAGGACCCTTTTCAGCTACATTTCGCTGTTACAAGTTTTTGCTTTTCAATTGACTTACCGTGGTATACTCCCGTTCCTCCTTGTCCTTTTTTCGGATCATTAGCCCCCGAAAAAAACATAGTCATATTAAATTCTTGTGCCCACATCTGGTGTACTTGAAGTGCTAAAAAAATTGGTTTTATTTGAAACACGGTGGATTCTCACTAACATGTCAAAAATGGTAGCTGCGACACCCAGTTGCTACAAATGAGGTAGTTTGCAATCTGTTCCCTATTGAGGGTCTTTTCGAAAGAAAAAAGAAATCCTGTTACAATCGATGTCGCTGTAAAAGGCATCACCAACGACAATATGTCATTATCAAAAATTCGAGATTTAAAAAGCACTTTGCCTGGAACGACGAATGCTATTGGTTCTCTATGAAGATAATTGGCTCCAATTCGAGATTCTTTTACAATACTGGAATAATAATTTCGCATTTACTCTTTAACGCAGCGGAAACAAACCTATATTGTATTCTGCCTGCAACGTTGATGACCACATCTGAAGTATAATATTTGGAATCTTTCTCTTCTATCGCATTGAACACAATTGATAGGTTGTAATATATGGCAGCACAAGAAAGCGATTGTAAGAATGGTGCATATACTGCTCTATGAAAACATGGATTTCCAAGTGGCGGTATTTTGGAAAAGTATGGTCTTAAATTTTGATCTGATTTTGCATTGTCGAGGGTACCTTCCGGGAACACGATTGCGATCATATTCTGAAATAAATATATGCGAAGTATGCAATTATTTAAAAGTGTTGACATGGGGTTGTTACGTTATTTCTAGTCGCTTCTATTACGTCTATGTATCTATTTACGTTCCATGTAAGAGCTTCTCCGAGAGACCATTTTCGGTTGTGTGAGGCTTGATATTCGACTACACCTATAGTGTACCACTGGCTTTTTACAAAATGCTAAAAAATCGTTTATAATAATATAAAGTTCACACTTTGTATGAAACGCACTAATAAAAAAATCAGTGAATACAAAGGTATATTGTCGTCGTGAAACATTTTTGACAAATAAAAGTGACAAATGGGGAATGCACACAAACACTAGAAACAAATGCAAGGTCTCTTTGACTTGAGTTCAATTTTTTGTACTGTAACTGTCATACTTTATTTTAGCTCAATTTATTGTGAAACAATTGCCATTCTTCTTGCTTACGATACCCTGTTCCACAAAATCACACAAATTTGAAGTAATTTACTTTTTTTGTACTAATAAATAAATATTTCATTAAATGTGTTAAGATATCTTGTTCGTTGAAACAAAATAAAGATTGTGATGGTTCATCTAAACCTGTCGATTTTACTTTTGGCAAGTACTTGTTAAGATAAGACTGATTTTGACACTTCTGACATTTTTGCCCATTTTCAACTATTTTTGGAAATTATCAGGGAGTCTGGTCAGGTACACGAAGTAAGAATTAAATTTTATAGCAAAAAGTATATAATAAACAAAAATACGATCAGCGCGTGTTTTTATTTTTTTATTTTTCACTCCTACTCGACAAAAGAACATAATTAGCCCCGCCCACCCACCCGTTCTCTTTTTCAGTGATTTATTTTATCGGATCTGACTGAAATTGATGATCTTATATTGAGCAGAAATAAAATTAGTCGTTAGAATGCGAAGAGGGTGGGTGGGTGGACCTAGTACTTGCTGAGATAAGACTGACTTTGGCAAATGACATAGCCTCCACGAAAATAAAGGGCGGGTGGGCGGGGCTAGTATTTGCTAAGATAAGACTGACTTTGGCAAATGACATACCTTCCAAGAAAATAGAGGGTGGGTGGGCGGGCCTAGTATTTTATAAGATAAGACTGATTCTGGCACTTTTGACATTTTCGCCCATGTTTCAACTATTTTCGAAAATTTTAGTGATTGATTTTATACGATTTGAATGAAATTAATGACTTTATACTGAAGAGAAATAAAATTAGTCGTTGGAATGAAAAAAAGGCTGGTGGGCGTAGCTAGTACTTGCTCAGATAAGACTAATTTTGGCAGATGACATACATTGCAAGAAAATAGAGGGAGGGTGGGCGGGGCTAGTACTTTCTAAGACAAGTCATTTTGGCAAATGACATACCTTCCAAGAAAATAGAGGGTGGGTGGGTGGGGCTAGTACTTGTTTAGATAAGACTGATTTTGGCACTTCTGACATTTTCGCCCATTTTTCAACTATTTTTGAAAATTATCTGGAGTCTGGTCAGGTGCATGAAATAAGAAACAAATTTTATAGCAAATAGTATATAATAAAAAACAATACGATCAGCGCGTTTTTTTATTTTTTATTTTTCACTCTCACTCGACAGAAGAACATAATTAGCCTCGCCCACCCACCCTGTCTCTTTTTCAGTGATTGATTTTATCAGATCTGAGTGAAATTGATGATCTTATATTGAGCAGAAATAAAATGAGTCGTTAGAATGCGAAGAGGGTGGGTGGGTGGGGCTAGTACTTGCTGAGATAAGACTGACTTTGGCGAATCACATAGCCTCCAAGAAAATAAAGGGCAGGTGGGCGGGGCTACTATTTGCTGAGATAAGACTGACTTTGGCAAATGACATACCTTCCAAGAAAATAGAGGGTCGGTGGGCGGGCCTAGTATTTTATAAGATAAGACTGATTTTGTCACTTTTGACATTTTCGCCCATTTTTCAACTATTTTCGAAAATTTTAGTGATTGATTTTATACGATTTGAATGAAATTAATGATCTTATACTGAAGAGAAATAAAATCAGTCGTTGGAATGAGAAAAAGGCTGGTGGGCGGGGCTAGTACTTGCTCAGATAAGACTAATTTTGGCAGATGACATACATTGCAAGAAAATAGAGGGCGGGTGGGCGGGGCTAGTACTTTCTAAGACAAGACTGATTTTGGCAAATGACATACCTTCCAAGAAAATGGAGTGTGGGTGGGTGGGGCTAGTACTTGTTTAGATAAGACTGATTTTGGCACTTCTGACATTTTCGCCCATTTTTCAACTTTTGAAAATTATCTGGAGTCTGGTCAGATGCATGAAATAAGAAATAAATTTTATAGCAAATAGTATATAATAAAAAACAATACGATCAGCGCTTGTTTTTATTTTTTTATTTTCCATTCCCACTCGACAGAAGAACATAATTAGCCCCGCCCACGCACCCTGTCTCTTTTTCAGTGATTGATTTTATCCGATCTGAGTGAAGTTATTGTCGTTAGAATGCGAAGAGGGTGGATGGACGGGGCTAGTTCTTGCTAAGATAATTAAATTTAGAAGAAGATCATTTAGAAGAACAGAAGAAATGAAAAAAGAATAACAAAATTAACTAAAATTTATGAAGAATGAAACGGAGGGGTGTAAAAGATGATTCAAAGAAGTAAAAAATTGCGAAAATGGCTGAGGAAATTGACGATTGATAAATTAGAAGAATAATTTGATAGTAGATATTCTCAGGGAAAAAATCAGAAACGAAATTTCTGCTTCGATCCAAGATCATTTAGAAGATCAAAGGAAATGAAAGAAGAGTGACATAATTAAGAAAAATTGATGAACAATTGCCAGAAGAATCATAAAAAAATAAAAGTGTAAAAGATGATCAAATAAGGCAAAAGAGTACGATAATTACTGATGAAATTGATAACTAACAAGTTAGCAAAAAATTATAGTGACCTGATATTCCACTTTCAATCGTTTCTGATTTACCACATGTTCTTGTTGGATTAAATAACTGTTTAATCCCTATGTCGCTTGCTACTGTTTACTTGAAAATTAATATTAAAATCACCACATGTGATCATGTGCTTGTTGGGTTTACAATATTGCATTACGAGCCGTAGCGCTGAAACTGCACAGTCGCGGTCGAGAGACCTATAAATTCTAATGATAGTGATTTTGACCGTATTTAGGGTTATTAATTTTGTAGCACAAGTTTCAAAGTGTTTTTCAATTGTAAATTTTCTCACACACATCTGGTTTCTCACAAAACTAGAATTATACCTCCTTCATCGCTTTGTTGGGACTTATTTTACTTTTTATAACCATGACTCAGCTTCGGGAAATCATAATTCATGAACGTAAACTCCTATTTCGTCAGTGTTGTTCTATATACTTCATGTACGCTGCTTTGAGCGATCACAAGTGCTCCTAATGAACGTGTTTAATGATTAACGTTTCAATACCTGCTACCAGAACAAATATTTCACGTAAGTTCATCATTATCGAGGAAGGATTTTCGATCAATGTTGTGAGTCTTCCTAAAAGATACATTTTACTACGCCCAAAGGGGTTACCACATCACAGATTTTTTTACGACATATGATTCAAAAGTGTACTGCCTATTTGTTGGAATTGACACGATACAAAAGTACCTTTCAAAGTGCTAACGTAGGAACCTACCCGGGCCACTGCATGAGACGTACTTCAACAACTGCATGGGGAAATAAGGGTGCTAGAATTAATAAATAATACTCCTGAAAATTCGGGAAAACGACAAGTGTTTATTTATATTGGCTTCCACACAATGCAAGAAAATGAAGGAAAAAAGAAGAAAGCTTTAAAAAAAAATGAAAAAAGAGGAAAACAAAAAAATGCTCCAAAGGGAACTACAGAAAAGTTACAACAAAAACCGAAAAAACAATTTATTTCAAATGCCTGGATTTTGCTTTTTTTTTTCTTATTTAGTACTCACGTTTCACACCTAAATATTACCTTAATTTTTTTTTTATTCTTCTAGGCATCGATATTGGGTTATTTGTTTTATATTTTCTTCATTGGTTTGATATTCTTATTTCTTGATATTCATTTGTAATGATTAATGCCAATTATTTTTTTTTTGTTTACCTTCATTCCATATTCCTGTTATACCCTATACTACTTTTTTTTTAATTCTTTCATTAATCATTAGTCATTACATTTTGTGTTTATCACTTTATCTTCATATTGTGCTCATAACACCACCTTGTCTCAATAGTTCTTCCGTTGAAAAATGACCAGACTTCAGGTTTTTGCAAATTATTCAGTTGACGTTCTTAACATAAAGACTTTGAAAAGCTCGTATTCACATCCCTTCGTCGCAAACTTTTCCATGTTTGAACCCATGGTAGTTAGTCAAAGCCTTTTTCTAGATCAAGTATTGGCGCTATTTCTCAATTTTTTGATAGAGTTTCTTGTATTTTTGCATTGTTCTATTATTTCATGTGCCGTGTCTTCGCCTTTCCGTTTTATTAAGGTTGTTGGTACTTACCTTAGTATTCGTTATTTTCCGTTGTCTTTTTGGTCAGCCAATATTTTTTGGTAGCTAATTTATACTCGTTTTCATTTTTATAAGTATTTGTACTCCCCTTTCCTTCAGAGTACAATCGTTATCAATTTCTAATATACACAGAGAATTTTTTCTAACAATCGCTTTCCCAAACCTTGAGTCGATCGAGAAGAACCAGTTCAGTGGCCCCCACTATCACAAGATTTAAATCCATGCACTTTTTACTTCCCGAGCGTAAGCAAGGAAGTATTGTAATCGAGTCCATCGGCCGATTCTCTACTTTTACGTTTTCTCGATCTTTCATGACCCCTAGAAGACGAAGAAGTAGGTCTGCCATTTCCGTCTGTCTGTCCGTCTGTCCGTCTGTCCGTCTGTCTGCCGTCCCGGATTTTTATTAGACAGATAATCTCCGAAAGTGCTGGACCGATTGTTGTGAAATTTGTACTTATATTAGGAATATCATGTAGATGGTAAAACGCTAACAAAAATTTGTCTAATCATCCCCACCACTAATGCGATGACGTCACTTCAAAATTTTACAGAGTAAATGGGTTTTAAATTGTATAAAATAACATAGTCTTACACATGTAGTTTACGACTCCGAATTGAGTTTTTACCCGAAACGTCCAGATTTTTGGAAAAAAAATCAAAATTATGAAAACATTTTGCAATTTAATTTTGAATCTGCTAACCCGAATGTTTTGAACTGTTGCAGATGTTTTAAGGCTGTAAAGAGCATCATAAATCTTTAGTCAAAATATATTTGGTTAT